TAATAACTTTTTTATACAAGCTTGGTAGAGGTCAACTACACACTGTCTAATGTCAATTATCTAAGCTCTAGCCTTTATAATCCCAGAGGAGAGAGTTAAAGTTTGTTCGGTTAATATTGGGACCTGAGTTCTGCATGGATAGATTTGTTAAACAACTAAAAAAGATCACCTTAGAATCATTCCTAGAAAATTTAAATATATACAGAGTGATTTGGTAAAAAATGCTTTTTGCTTTAGATATTTAGCACGACATTGTCTATTAGACCTGTACCGAGTTTGTTTAAATCATAGTCATGTGGTCTAAATTGCCCCCGCAAAAGAGGTCATAAATATTCCTGACATATATACAGCAAAAGCTAACAAGATCTATAATTGTGCATGCAGCATTTTATGTTTGACCTCTAAAAATGTGTTGAAACTATAGCAACAACCAGTGACTTCCCAAAGCAACTAGTGACTACCAAAGAAACTAGTTACTTGCCATAGTATCCGTAGACTTCAATAGCAAATCATTGACTTTACATATCAACTAGTGTTTTACCGTAGCAACCAGTGATTCGTCTAGCAACCATTGAATTTTATAGCAGCCAGTGACATTCTTTAGCAAACCATGACTTCAATAGCAACCTTATAATTACCTAGCAACAATAAACTTACATAGAAGCCAGTGGACATTCAAAGCATCCAGTAACGTACCATAGCAATCAATAACTTCAATAATTACAAATGACCTCCAATAGTAATCAGAAACTTCCATATGAACAAGTGATTGTACATAACAACCATTGACTTTTCTTAGCAACCACTGACATTTCTTAGCAACAAGTGGCTTCCACTTCCACTTTTCAAACAATTACTTTCCCATAATCGTATCAAAAATGGGGGCAAAATCTAATGTGTACACCCAATTCAAGTACGGTATTATGTTTTACTTTTTAGGTACACTGTTTCCACAATACATATACATCAGTAAAAATATAACATGACACATCCTTTTTTATAACTGTACATGTGCAGTATCATTATTAAACAATTTTGTACTTTAAGTTTAAAATGAAATTCATTTATCAAACAAATTATCAGGATGACATTAGATCTAAAATGTAATGTAAACCTTGTATTTTTAGAAGTCGTAAAAGAAAAAGGTACTTCTGATGTTCATACAACATGTAATGAACGGATTATTTCTTCCCCATTTTTAGCTCACCTGTCACAAAGTGACAGGGTGAGCTTTTGTGATCGCTTTTCGTCCGGCGTCCGTCCGTCGTCCGTAAACTTTTACTTTAAACGACATCTCCTCATAAACCGCTGAGCCAATTTCATCCAAACTTCACAGGAATGTTCTTTTGATATTCACCTTTACAAATTGTTCAAAGAATTTATTTCCATGCAGAACTCTGGTTGCCATGGCAACCAAAAGAAAAAAAATTCAAAAATCTTCTTTTAAAAAACCCAAAAAGCTAGAGCTTAGATATTTGGCATGAACCATCTTCTAGTGAGTGTCTACCAAGTTTGTTGAAATAAAAGCCCTGGAGTCAAAATTGGCCCCGCCCCAGGGGGGTCATTGTTTTTCCAAATATGTATATAGTAAAAACTTAAAAATCTTCTTTTAAAGAACCCAAAAGAGCTAGAGCTAAGATATTTGGCATGAACCATCTTCTAGGGAGTGTCTACCAAGTTTGTTGAAATAAAAGCCCTGGGGTCAAAATTGGCCCTGCCCCAGGGGGGGGGTCATTGTTTTTCCATATATGTATATAGTAAAAACTTAAAAATCTTCGTTTAAAGAACCAAAAGAGCTAGAGCTAAGATATTTGGCATGAAACATCTTCTAGTGAGTGTCTACCAAAATTATTCAAATTAAAGCCCTGGAGTCAAAATTGGCCCCGCCCCAGGGGGGTCATTGTTTTTCCATATATGTATATAGTAAAAACTTAAAAATCTTCGTTTAAAAAACCCAAAGAGCTAGAGCTACGATTTTTAGCATGAAACATGTTCTAATGGATGTCTACCAAGTTTGTTTAAATAAATGTCCTAGGTTTAAAATTGGCCCTGCCCCAGGGGGGTCATTGTTTTTCCATATATGTATAAAGTAAAAACTTAAAAATCTTCTTTTAAAAAAACAAAGAGCTACAGCTTAGATATTTGGCATGAACCATCTTCTAGTGAGTGTTTACCAAGTTTGTTGAAATAAAATCCCTGGAGTCAAAATTGGCCCCGCCCCAGGGGGTCATTGTTTTTCCAAATATGTATATAGTAAAAACTTAAAAATCTTCTTTTAAAGACCCCAAAGAGCTAGAGCTAAGATATTTGGCATGAACCATCTTCTAGTAAGTATCTACCAAGTTTGTTGAAATAAAAGCCCTGGGGTCAAAATTGGCCCTGCCCCAGGGGGGGGGGGTCATTGTTTTTCCATATATGTATATAGTAAAAACTTAAAAATCTTCGTTTAAAGAACCAAAAGAGCTAGAGCTAAGATATTTGGCATGAAACATCTTCTAGTGAGTGTCAACCAAAATTATTCAAATTAAAGCCCTGGAGTCAAATTGGCCTCGCCCCAGGGGGTCATTGTTTTTCCATATATGTATATAGTAAAAACTTAAAAATCTTCTTTTAAAAAACCCAAAGAGCTAGAGCTACGATATTTAGCATGAAACATGTTCTAATGGATGTCTACCAAGTTTGTTTAAATAAATGTCCTAGGTTTAAAATTGGCCCTGCCCCAGGGGGGTCATTGTTTTTCCATATATGTATTAAGTAAAAACTTTAAAAATCTTCTTTTAAAAAAACCCAAAGAGCTACAGCTTAGATATTTAGCATGAAACATCTTCTAATGGGTGTCTACCAAGTTTGGGTTAAAGTTTGCCCCGCCGGGGGGCGGGGGTCATTGTTTTACTACATGTATGTAGTAAACTCTGTTATTCACCAAAATGAAATGATTTTATTTGATCTTGTTTGTTTTCATATGTGCATAGCGATACAGAACAGTACAGTGATATTGACCGGCATACTTATTAGTACATATTCCATTACACTAAATGAAAAGAGACCAACCTTACCAAAAATGTGCCATTGATGAAAACCTATTTGATAATTATAAATTTCATTTTAATAATCATAAATTTATTCTTACATTATTTGTTGATATTTACTCCTTTCATGCTTAGTTGATCAGATTTGATCCTAAATTATTTCATCAGTGAAATAAAAGGGCCTCTTACATACTGGAATGTTACCACCTGGCTGACCATGCTTGTGCTTATTTTATCTTTGTTATACAATTTCCTTCTGATTTAAGTAAAAATGTAAAGTAAAAGAAAATATTTAATACTTTTGCTCCTGTTTTTATAAATAAAGAGTTTTACATACATGTATGAAGGTGCGTTAAGGAACAATTGTGATAGATATTATTTAAATAAAGTTTATAAATTGTATATCTTAAACAAGTATCTTGTGTGTCCTCTGTGCCAGGTGGGTATAATATATTATATTTTTCATAGTATCGTCCCATTGGACACAAACATTTATAGAAGAGACTATTTGAAAGATAGCCACAGATAAACAATATTTCTGAGATTTGTGATTCTGGATTGTGCTTGTGACGTGTAATACATTGTTAACTTAATAGTGCCTGTGACACTTAATAGTGCTTGTGACACTTAATACTTTGTGACATTAAGTTGTGACACTTCAGTGTTTCTAAAACTTTAAAGTGCTTCTGCCACAGCGTTGTTTCATTGGAAACTGTGAGAACTGCTCCAGTGATAGCTTTCCAGCATAAGAAAGGTATGTCTTGGCATTAATTAATTGTGGTAATCAGTAGCAATGAGTTTCAAGACTGACTTTGCTTGTTATAAAGAAGAAAGTCAAGATGAAGTAGTTTTAGTATTTTATTGATCCTGTTCATTCCAATTTAAATATCATCAACTTAATCAGTATAAGCCAATGTGAATTGAAGCAACTTACATCCAGATTTAATGAAATGCAATATCTTTGTTAACTCATAAACAGAAAAATATGTCTTTTGTGCCTGATTTTTTTTCATCACTAAAAAAAATAATCCTGATTTAAACATGTTTTTTTTTGTTGTAAAATATGTTAAAAAGATCTGTAGGGTTTTTTGTGTGTAAAATATGTTTCGAAGAACTGTAGGTTTTCTTTGTGTAAAATATGTTTCAAAGATCTGTAGGTTTTCTTTGTGTAAAATATGTTTCGAAGATCTGTATACTATCTCTTGCTTATTTATCATTTCAGTTAGACATGCCACTAAGTATAACATAGAGAAGACAAAGGCCAGGAGGGCAATATTGGTGAATATGGAGCACATGTTGGCAGAAGATGCGGATGTAGTCCCTGTCATAAGTCCGGTCATCGTGCCGGCAGACAGGGCCCCATCAGCAACTGTCATAGGTCCGGTCATCGTGCCGGCAGACATGGTCGCTGGGGCAACTGATGTAGGTCCAGTCAATGTGACGGAATTTAGAGCCCAAAAAGCACCTGATGTAGGTCTGGTCAACGCACCAGCATTCAGGGCGCTTGAAAGTCCGTTCATCAGTACGGCAAATGAAAGTCAGTTCATCAGTACGGCAAACAAAAAACAAAACAAATGCTATATATTCGGAAATGGAACAAATATTATCTCAGAATTCAAATTTGAATCAAAGAATATGCAATACATCTTCTGCAATGCAAAAAGATCAAGGAAAAATTGTGGGTCAGTCCTGTGAGACCTATTGCACTGGTATGCCCTTCAGTTGCTTGTCCTTAGTATTTGGTTCTTTCAGTCAAGCAAATAATAGATTTTCTATTCAAACTAGAGGTAGTCAATGCACTATTAACTCATTATGTGCTTTAATATATTCAAAATATTCTGATTTGATAACAACAGAAAATATTGATGAGGTACTAAACATTGGAGATATGCTGTACAGGGATGTTGTTAATAATTTAAAACAACTTGGTAAATTTAAGCACCGATTGCTAAGTCTTGAGGAAATGCCTGATCAAGTAAATGTTTTGTCCAAAGTGGTAGAAATAAGAAAAGGAAACATTGTATCAGGAATGACAATTCAGCATTTTGGAGATACAGACTTGCCAACTTTACATCAAGCCTTGCATGAAGCATTTCAGAGAGTACACCATGATAGGTACAAGTTGTTCTGCTGTGTTTCTTTAAGATAAAGAGTTTTGGCTGTTTGATTCACATTCACATGGAGAATATGGACTGTCAAATGTTGATGGAAAGTCTGTTTTGATGTCCTTTGATAAACTTGAAGACCTTGTGACATTTATGTATGCTATGTATGAAAGTGCAAATATTGATATAATGAGTCAATATGAAATATTGCCTTTAAATTTTAGTGTAGTTAAATGCACTTCACAATATCATAATATGTACATTAAAGATCAGCAGAAAATATCTGATAACAGTAAAACTGATGCTGATGATCTTTGGCAAACAGTTTCTTACAAAAAGCAAAAGAAATTCAGTAACATTTCTGTCATGCCAAGTAATGAACAATCATGTGAAGTAGTAAAAAAAAGCATTAAGCAACAGTCTGTTTACCATAAAGTAAAAGAAAATACATATAGTTATCCTGCAGTTGGGCTTAAGACAAAAATGAAAAATGATACAATACTTATTGGGAAGTACTTTAAACACCAATACCAAAAACAGCAACAGAAGGATAAAAAAGGAGAAAGTGATAGAAAAGCCTACATGAGACTGTACATGCAAAAGCGAAGGCAAAGTGATCAATTCAAAGTAAAAGATAAAGAATTCACATTAGGGTCAAAACGAAAGGCAAGATTAGATCCACTTAAACTAGAACAAGAGAAAATAGCAAAACAAGAATGTCGAAAATGTCCTGAATTCAAAAATAAAGAAGTTAAGATACAAAATAAATCGAAACGAAAGGCAAGGTCAGACGAAGAATTCAAGCATAAAGAAATTGAGATACAAAATAAATCCAAACAAAAGGCAAGATTAGACAGTGCATTCAAACAAAAAGAAATAGAGATACAGAATAAGTCCAAAAAAAAGGCGAGGTTTGATCCACTTATACTAGAGCAAGAGAAAATAGCAAAACAAGAATCTCGAAAATGTCCTGAATTCAAGCATAAAGAAATTGAGATACAAAATAAATCAAAACGAAAGGCAAGGTTAAACGAAGAATTCAAGCATAAAGAAATTGAGATACAAAATAAATCAAAACGAAAGGCAAGGTCAGACAAAGAATTTAAGCATAAAGAAATTGAGATACAAAATAAATCAAAACGAAAGGCAAGGTCAGACATAGAATTCAAGCATAAAGAAATTGAGATACAAAATAAATCAAAACGAAAGGCAAGGTCAGACGAAGAATTCAAGAATAAAGAAATTGAGATACAAAATAAATCAAAACAAAAGGCAAGGTTAGACGAAGAATTCAAGCATAAAGAAATTGAGATACAAAATAAATCAAAACAAAAGGCCCGATCAAATGAAGCATTCAAACAAAAAGAAACTGAATTACAGAATAAATCAAAACGAAAGGCAAGGTTAAATCCATATACATTAGAAAAAGAAAGAGTTGCAAAGCAACAGCGGAGATTAGATGAAAGAAACAAAAGCAAAGAAAAAATACTAGATTGTAAAAGAAAATCTGAAAAACGTAAAAATCCATTATTTTTAGAAGCAGAAAAGAAAACTGCAAAACGAAACAAAAGTGGTAATGATATTGAAGAGTGTATTGCGAAATTCCATCAAAACATACAAGAAGGTCCCATCTATGTTTGTAGTTCATGCCACCAGACATGGTTTAAGGAATCTGTATCAGAGGTTCTTACTTTGACTTCTAAAGACAAAAATAAGTACTTAACTGGTCTAAAGTCAGTAGATGATAAAGAATGGATATGTGCTACATGTAAGCATAATATTAAAAAAGGGAGATTACCTGCATTGTCAGTTTTAAATGGAATGGAGTGGCCAACAAAACCAAAAGAATTGGATCTGTTTCCTCTGGAAGAACGTTTAATAGCCTTGCGCATTCCATTTATGCAAATTAGAGAACTACCAAGGGGGCGTCAGTTATCTATAAAAGGGAATGTTGTTAATGTTGAAAACATTACTGTTGCTGTGAAATTAAATAAAAAGATGTCTTTTCAGTCTTGTGCATTTTCTGAAAATGTTCGGCCACTTCGAGTACTTGTAGCTTTACATTGGTTGATGAACAAAAGCAATCTTTATAAAAATGCAAATATTAGCATTGATGAGCAGTGGATTAAGGATGTTACAGAAAACTGTAATGAAGTCATAAATGAATTTTTTGAGTCAAAAGTAACATCTGAAATTGTGCCGGAGTGTGACACTGATGATAATAGAGATGCATATAATGATTCTCATTGTTCCAGTGATAATGTGTCCAAAACATTGCACAAATATTTTGAGGAAAATATTAAGCTATATAAAACACTGGGCACTGTTGACTTTGAAGACTGTGTTAGTGAAGTTATTGACAGTGCAAAAATAAAAAATACCGAAAATAAAATTTTGCATTCAGTAGTAGAAGATTTATATGACTCTGATGCTGAAAAAGTTTTAAATGAAAATGTTGGAAATATTGACACCCTTTTAGATGATGCAGATATTGAAAACAGACATGCTACTTTTACATTTGCACCTGGTGAGGGTCAGCAACCACTTAGTATTTTCCAAGATAAAGATTAAGAGTATCTGTGTTTTCCTAGCATATTTTGCGGTCAAATGCGTATTGATAATGAACAAAGAAAAGTACTAGTTCATTATGGTGACATTGCCAAGTGGGAACTTCGAAGTCTGGATAGACGTGCAGCAAACAGTGTGCCTAACATATTTTTAAATTAAAAAAAATACAGATGAAACAATTAAATGACAAGTCAAATTTAGCTGTTAGAAGAATTCAGACTGGTTCAAACAAATTAACTGCTGCCCAGGCAAGAAATGGTGAATGCATGGATACAATTGTAAAAAATGATCAAGGTTACTATTTGTTCAAACAGCTAAGAAACAGTCCAGCTTACTTAGAATCCAGAAAGAAAGATGTTTATGCAATGCTAAGACAGTTAGGTATACCAACTTGGTTTATGTCCTTGTCTTCTGCTGATACCAGATGGACAGATCTTCTTAAAATCCTTGCAAATCTAAATGAAAAAGGTAAGTACAGTGATGAACAAATAGAAAACCTCACTTGGGAACAAAAAATAAAATTGATTCAGTCAGATCCAGTTACTTGTTCTAGGTTTTTTGACCATATAGTTCAGAATTTTATAAATACTGTTCTTAAAAGTGATCATAATCAATTAGGTAAAGTGACAGATTATTTTTATAGAGTTGAATTCCAACAACGTGGATATCCACATATTCATATGATTGTGTGGGTAGAAAATGCTCCAAAATTAAATGTAGACTCAATTGAAGAGATAGCAGCCTATGTGGACCAGTACTTAAAATGTTCAGTTAACAATGAATTTGTAGGGGCCTTGGTAGACATCCAAATCCATAAACATTCAAGAACGTGTAGAAAAAAACAAGATCGTATGTGCCGTTTTGGTTATCCATTACCACCTCTGCAAAAAAACAATGGTGTTATTTCCACTTGAAAATGACAAGGAGAAATATCTCAAACAATATGAAAAATTCAGAAAAAAATGAATGATGAGAAACATGGATATAATATGTCTTTTGAGAATTTTTTGTCAGATATTGTACAGATGAATGAGGATGATTACATTAAATGCATTAGAAGTTCATAAAATTCTCCCAAGGTGTTTTTAAAAAGAAATCCAAATGAGATACGTGTATATTTATACAATGATGTAGTATTGAAAGCATGGAAAGCAAATACTGACATTCAATTTGTCTTGCATCCATATGCTTGTGCCATGTATATTGTTTCATATATAAGTAAATCACAACGTGGTATGAGTAATCTTATGTATGCTGCTGCAAAGGAAGCAAGAAATGGCAACCTAGATATAAAAAGGCAAGTAAGACACATTGGCAATGTGTTTTCGAACAGTGTTGAAGTGAGTGCACAGGAAGCTGTCTATCTAGTTTTGCAAATGCCCTTGACCAGAAGTACAAGAGATGTTGTATTCATAAACACTTCTGTACCAAACCAAAGAGTACAATTGTTAAAACCCAAGTCTGATCTTGATGAGTTGCCTGCAGACTCAACTGATATCATGTCAGATAATGTGATAAAAAGATATTCAAAACGTCCAAAGGCTCTAGATAAATATTGCTTACCTGATTATGTGTCACAATTAGAAGTGGTTTACCCAGATAATAAAAAAGATATAGGTTATTCAGAACAAAACGATGATGAAAATATTGCTGGAATGTCAGATGATGAATATTTTGATGATTGCCAAAACATTTGTATACTGAAAAGTGGTATAAAAATCAGAAGACGCCGTAATTCAAAAATCATAAGGCATGTAAGATTTAATAAAAAAACAGATGAAGAAAACTATTAAAGAGAAAAACTACTTCTTTTTTATCCATGGAGAAATGAAGAAAAAGATTTACTTGGACATTTTGCAACATACAAAGAACAGTATGAATCGGTCCAAAATGCTGTAAATGAAAAAAGTGCATGCTATGAACATCATATTGATGAGTTAGAATTAGCAAGAAATATGGCTGAAGCAGAATATAATGCATATGATGAAAGGAAGAAGAAGCAGAAACTGCTGAAGAAGAACCAGTAGAGTCAGAAACATTTATATATTTCAATCCTGATAGAGTTACTGAACAAAGAGAATATGATATTGGCATAGAAATTTGATGTTCCATTTCACCTGCACAAATCAGTTCTAATGAAAATATTTTACCAGATGAAGAGTACAGAGCTCTTCTGCGTTCGTTGAACTCAAAACATAAAGAGTTTTACTATCATGTTGTTCATTGGATAAAAACAAAAGATGCACCTTTATATACATTTCTTTCTGGTGGTGCTGGTGTTGGTAAAAGTGTTGTTATAAGAGCATTGTATCAAACACTATATAGAATGCTTAATTTGAAAGAAGGAGAAAATACTGATGATATAAGGGTACTCTTGTGTGCATATACTGGAAAAGCAGCTTTCAATATAAACGGCTCTACTATTTCGTCCGCATTTAAACAGAAATACAAACAGTCTGACCAAACATTAACATGTGACAGCTTAAATACATTCAGATCCAAATATCGAGATTTATCTGTTGTCATAATTGATGAAATTTCAATGGTTAGTAATACTTTGATGAGTTTCATAAATCAGAGACTTCAAGAAATAAAAGGTACTCGCAAAGCATTTGGAGGTGTAAGCATTATCGCATTGGAAGATTTATTCCAATTAAAACCTGTAAATGGTGGTTGGATATTTAATGATTTAAGTCATGATGCTGCATCTTTGTCCATGAACTTATGGAAAGAACTGTTTGTTATGTTATGAGTTGTCAGAAGTAATGAGACAAAAGGATGATTTACCATTTGCAGACTTATTAAACAGGCTGAGAATTAACTCCTTGACAACAGAAGATAAAATGGTCTTTAAAGTTTGTGAAGTTGAATCCAGTGCTAAGAATTATCAAGTAAACTTCCCACATCTATTTGCTGAAAATTATTACATGCACATTTTCAATGACACACTTCTAAACAGTTCAAACAATCAAAAAGTGTCCATTCTTTGTCATGATTCTGTTGTTTCACCAAAATTGTCAAAGGATAAACAAGAAGAGGCTATCAAAAGATTGCCCACAGATCCAAACAGAACTGCTAATCTTCATTGTTCATTGGATATTGTTGTAGGAATGTTGTATGATTTAACAGTCAATACAAATACTGAAGATGGACTTGCAAATGGTGCATCATGTGTTGTAAAGTTCATAGAGAATAAACTGAAGGAAACACAACGTCCTAGTATCATATGGGTACAATTTGTGGATTTAAAAGCTGGTTGTGGAACTAGATTAAAATATAAAAATCGTGGTTTTTATCACACACAAATAAATGAAAATTGGACACCAACATTTGATATCACAAGGACCTTCACATATAACAAAAAAACTTTTGAAAGAATCCAGTTTCCATTACAACCTTCTGCTGGGAGATCAGTTCATAGAGCACAAGGAACAACACTTGATAGTGTTGTGATTGACCTATCCCAAAGAAAAACACGAAAAGTTCCTCACCTTCATTATGTTGCATTTAGTAGAGTAAGGTCTTTAGAAAAGCTTCAAATTCTAAAGTTTAATGAACAGGCTTTACAAGTTGATGAACAAGTTAAAACAGAAATGAAGAGATTCCTTAAAGATGCGTCTCTAGAATTGTGTTATGTCCCCTTGGAATCTATACATGTATTTTCAAATATGGATTTAAAATTGCATTCAAGAATTTTAGGTCATTAAACAAGCATTTCATTGATGTGAAACATGACCAGGGATTGTTGTCTTGTGATATTATTGGATTGGCAGAAACTAGATTACATGAAAATGATAATGATTCTTCCTATCAGATACAGGGATACCATTTAATACGCAATGACCAATGTACTACATCAACATCTGAAAGACCTCCGCATGGGTTACTTATTTATGTCAAAGATGATGTATTAATAAAAACTGCAGACATCTTTAGCTCCCAAAATTTTGAATTTGTTCTTCTGAATGTTGCAAGAGAATTAAGTGAAATGCAAGTTGTGGTATTGTATAAATCACCAAAAATGTCTTATTCTGCTTTTCGCACTGTGCTGACAGAGAAACTCATTCCACATTTGGTACCTCATAAGCCTTTGGTTATTCTAGGTGATTTTAATATTGATGTTTTAAAATATCATAGGGGTGTTTTGCAGTATTTGTATGATAAGCTTAACTGTAGATTACGTCTTAATGAACCTACAACTGATAATCTCTCAGCATTAGACTTGATAATAACAAATATTGATGCCACTGGGGGTACAGTAGAAACTTACTGGTCAGATCACAAGATTATCTACTGCTGTACTGAAAGAATCTCTACACAATAAAATCCGGTGCGAGCCCAGAAAACAGCCATTGCATTACTTACCAGTTCTTCTTAAAAAATTTACCTCTGGTGCGAGCCCAGAAAACAGCCATTGCATTACTTACCAGTTCTTCTTAAAAAAATTACCCTCTTAAGACTTAAAGATATGTAACGTTATAGTTTAAATTTTAACCTTCACCTTATAACCTACTTCCAGTCAGAAGATGTATTCAGGGCCATCATGACCCTCTTGTTTAATTTTGATTTGCCACATGAACACACATAACCATTTGTCAACATATTATGACAACAAGAACTAGTGCAGATTTCAAACTAATAGGTCAAATAGGTTCAGAAACTAAGTCACCTGATCAGAGCTTTGGGAAACCTTTTTAAAACTGAGATCACCTTTTACCCAGTTCAATTGAATGTAGAATGTTTGCCTTAGCAAACTCTAATAAAGGCATACATCCATGCCTCAGGTGAGCGACCCAGGGCCCAAGGGCCCTCTTGTTTAAAAATAGCGAACATTTCATTATAATACTTCTTTGTATTAGCATTGAAGACAAACTAATTTTTAAATCAGTCTTTTTTAAGCCACTTTTAGTCGACTCCCACTGTGCAAGATAACATCTAAAATTACAACCATCCGCAGGTGAGAAAGATCTATGTTGTTTTCTTGTGATTTCGATTTTTAGGAT